TAAAGACCCAAAGAGCTTGTCTCAATTTGCAGCTCCATTTGCAGGCCATCAATCTGAGTCAGCTCAGTTGGAGCGACTGACACGGAAGGTGTTAACTGGGCCCTAATGGTGGCCTGGACAATTCGAAATTTATATCTCAGGGCCATAAACAAGCCCATTGCAATGCATAATTCCCATTTCATTCAGCTTACGAGGTCATCATCGCTATTGAAGAGCAACGGGACAATGCGAATAAGTGTGACAGGAGCAATTATAGCCTGATCCTGATGTCTTCGATGTCAACACAACAGAGCGCGAAGACAGCGCAGGCAGTTGGCATTGAGCACGGCCAGTATGGGACACACACAGGACCTCGAACAGAAGCCAAGGACACAGGCGACGCGTGACGCATTGGGAAAATATTTGTACAAAACATTGAGGAAACTGAAAAGGAGCACAGCGTCGCGGCATCCTTGACTTTGATTGGTGCCGAGTCCAAGGACGAGCCGTTGCAGCCTGACCTCGAGAGGAGTCGCTGGTGGGCCTCCGGCTCAAGGACATATCCTGTCTGGCTTTCTCTTTGCTCCTAACTGCAATCTAGACTCGAAAATCAGAAGATTGCTTCATCTACTTGCCGACATCTGGGCGATTGATATACCCGACGGAGAGCTAACGATCCGATACGATCCCTGTGCAGTTTGATTGTTAAATCAAACAAATCGCATCGCGCACACCGAAATTTTGAATAATTCTCGAGCATCGCTCACTAATTAGCCGCCGATTGAGGCAATCAAATTGATTGCCTGCGATCCGAGTCCAAGAAAACCTCACGCTGCGATCTCCGGACCCGTGTTAGACGGATTGACGCTGATACTATATATAGATGCCTAATATCGGAACAGTACGGGGAGCTTACACCACTCGTGGGTTGTTTGTTTAGTTTGTTGATAATTTTTCTCGGCCCTTTACCATTTTATACGCAGCAGGCAGTCGCCTGTTTCAGCCTGATAATGAGTGCTATCCACTCGATTGTTTTTATCGCCCCATTCCCAGGTATTTTTCTGTTGTTTTTTTGCAGTGCTATATAATGAGAAATCCCCCCGGGAAAAGATCAGCAACAAACTTCAAAGAAACCAGCCCCAGCATGTGACCGTCGTAGCTCCACTTGAGCTATGAAAACAAACAAATCCTGGACTAACTGAAACTGGAGTATCCGAATGTTATATCTTATGTAATGCGGCCATCTGTAGCCTCAGGTGGAAGTCTTTTGAAGTATAAAATATTAATGAGCTTAGAGCAGCAGGTTTCCCCCATCAATAAACCAATTAAAGAAGGCAATACTCCATTTAGAGAGTAAACTATTGCATTTGAGTTGATCTTTCCTTATGAATAGAACTTAGATACAAACTTAAGGTTCATTTTTCAGCAAAGTTATAGTACTGACACATTGGTAAAATCTGTGGCATCATTAGGTTTATATCCTGATGGTAAATGCAGAGTTTGGAATTTAGTTTCACTTCCCATCCTAATGATGTTGGTCAGTCTCTTTGGCCTCGCTTGACCGGCCCGAATGGCAGCTGATGATGCTGCTCCCGAGGAAAATAATGATGCGAGCGACTCCAAAAGTATCTGAGGGCTGGGAATTAACACATTCGCCTCCTCCAGGCGCGTGCCTGTCCTACCTTTCCGAGCATTTATCAATCGTCGACGGGCCGACCCACCGTGCCACCGACTTTACTATACTATATAGCCATACAGATGACTATCGCACTGGGGTTGCCCTCGTGGAAGTGCCAAAAATGTGCAACGCCGTCAGCGGAAGGAAGGCAGGAAGGAGGAACTGAGGCCGGGGTGGGGCAGGGGTTCGAAGGACATAAGGGACAAGGGACATGCAGCTAATCGGGCACAATGGGATGGTCCCGATCCACTGTCAAGGTAATTTATTAATTCGACAATAAAAACGCACGCAGTTCTTGGGCCGAGATACGGACTCGCAATCCTCTCTGGGTTGGGACTGTGCTCGGATTTGGAATCGAGCTCGGGGTGTGTTGTGGTCGGACACTCGCATGTGGGCCTTACAACTCAATTAAAGTTGCCCGGGTCCTGGCTGCTGGATTTCTTTAGCGCGGCGGAGTGTTTTATGGCCATGTGCCGGTTTAGGGTTAATCGCCATCGACACATTGATAAAAGCCAATTGGCCGTAAGTGAGAAAGTTAAGTTAAGGACTTCGGGCATTAATGCGGATAATAATAATATTTAATCAAAATTAAATAATTATTGGTGAGCCCTTGGATTTTTATTGTTATTTTAAAATATTTCTTTGCTACATCACAAGTGGTGTCCTCCGGAATTATAGAGCAATTTTGTACACCCTTGCAGGGTATTATAATTTTATTCAGCAGCTTGTAACTTTAAAAGGAATCGTTTCCGACTCTATAAATCATATATATTCTTGATCAGCATCGAAATCCGAGTCGATCTAGTCATGTTCGGTCGAAAAATAAATTTTGATAGGGGTTACATCATTAAAATTGTCAAAAATTGGCCAAAAATGGAATTCTTTAAAATGTTAAATTCAGTATGCAGATTTGTTAACCTACCAAAAACTAACATAATAAGGATAGCCGAATTAAAATCACTGTTTTTTGGCTGAGTTATGATATTTTTAAACATTAATTTGACGAAAAAGTTATCAAATAACAATATCCATAAATATCGATTTAGATAAAGCAAAGCTTTGTTATGATTAATCAGTACATTACAGTATTTACTTATGGAAGTTAGTCAGTTGTTAAGTGAATTACTAATACATTTCTACATATCTTAAACTTCTCTCTACTGACTTGGAATGAAACAACAACTGTATCGATTTACGTTTTCGTTTATATAATATTATTTTTAACCATTTCTTGCTCGTGTATAGGGTTTCATTTCCCCCTCCGCTTTTCCAACTGATTGTTAAATTTACTCTAAAACCAGAAAGGCGGCTATGAAGTTGCTGGCAATTGAACAATCACAGGACATCGGGGAAAAGCGGACTGCAGTCTGGCGGATTGTCGACTGTCTTCTGTCAAACTGAAAAACGCCATAAATTTCGGGCAACAATGGATGCTGGCAGGACATGGGGATGGACCGGGATGGAGTAGGGGTAGAAATCGCACATGCACAAAGTGCACACATATGCCACAACTATCGATATGTTAGGGGTGTTCAACGGGGGTGGCTATATATGTATATATAGTTCTCTTTCGGCTTCGTAAGCCGATCTGAAAGTCATGTAAACACAAAAAGTAGGCAAAATCAATTGTTTTTTTAGCAGTCAATTAAGCTGAGCGGATTTTTGGTTCTATGTAAATAATATTTATGATTGGGAGTGAAGGGTGACCCCAGGATTTAAGCAAATATCTTAACATATTTATTAGATTTGGCTTGCACTTTATTTTGTATATAAAATGGCTTCTTAAAGGTACCAGCAGGCATTTTCTTTAACAGCTTTGTCTGGTTATTACTGAAACATACTCATAGCTATAAATATTTTTAAGGTACTAACTTAAAGATTTTAAACAAGAAAGGAAACTGACTTCAGAAACTTAAATTGATATACCTTTTCAGTTTGCAATTGAATCATAGGATCGAATCGGAATTTAGTCATAAGTAAGATTAAATTATTAACATTTTTTGAATCGTTATTTGTAGATATTTTTATATGCTAATTTTTTCCACAAATCAAAGTTTCGACAACTCATAACTAAGTCAAAAATGCATTAATTTCAATTCGGAAAGCGTTCCTATGCTAATTTTTACCAGGTTAACAAAATTGCATACTCCATTTAACTTTTTAAAGAATTCATTTTTTTGCCAATTTTTGACAATTTTAATGATGTAACCCCTTATCGTTTTTTCAATTTTTTGACGAAATTTGAAAAATTTATTTTTGACCGGACATGGCTTAATCGATTCGGGTTTTAATGCTGACCAAGAATATATATGATTTATAGGGTCGGAAACGATTCCTTTTAAAGTTACAAGCTGCTGACTAACATTATAATACCCCAAAAACAGATTACAAATGCAAAGGTTTTTTGCTTTTAAGTTATTTAAATATGGTTTGTGGGCGCAAAAAGTGGGCGAGAACGACTGTTGTTTTCTCGCACTGTTGAGGAGCGAGGATCCTGGGCAAATATCAGAGTTGGTGAGGAGTGAGTGGGCACCAGGAGTTGCGCACTTGCTTTCCTGGTCGCGAGGACAAACAAAAAACGCAAACACGCGACCCTCGGCCACGCGCAATCGCAGCAGCCTCGGGATCGGGACCTGGATCGGACGTAATGTTATCCTTTGGCCGCCCAGTGCCGCGAAATGAATTCGGAGGGAAAGGGCCGCGGAGAAGGATTCCGGGAACAACTGGCAGCCAGTCATGGGCCGAACTCTTGGACTGGCAAAAATCCAGAGAAATTTTTAGGGAACCATAAACGGGCCCGGGGAAAAAGCCTTTTGTCGCCAGGACATTCTGCAGCAACAGTTTGCCGTTTACAGTCTACAGTTTTCAGATCCTTTTTATGTCTTTATGATTATTGCAATTAGAGGAGGACAGCACCTCAGGCAGCTCTCTCGCTCGCCGCACCTCATAGGTAGGCATCTCATGGCTGTAATTACTGCAGCAGCGTCTCAAGGCCGCCGCGGAGGGGAAGTGCCCGGCGGATAACTCGCGATGATAATGGGCGCGATGGGTAGGTAATAAGCAGCGCAGCAGGTAGGCCTCGAACGGATAGTTTGGCAGGACCTCGGATAACTTCCCCTCGATCTGCCGGCAAGGACATTCGCCAGGAGGGGTGGTTCGCCGAGCAGCGGGCGGCAAAGTGTCATGCGCAGGGATATTTATGCGCTATGACGACGAGCGTGTGCCGTGCCCCGGGTTTTGCTATATATGCAGGATCTGCCGCAGGACGAGCTCATTCGCAATCACAGCAGCGTTGCGTGCACATCGCAGAGTCACAGAGACACAGCACAGACACAGTACCGAGATGGCCACCACCAACAGCCAGAGCCACTACAGCTACGCCGACAACATGAACATGTACAACATGTACCACCCCCACAGCCTGCCGCCCACCTACTACGACAACTCGGCGGCCGGCAGCAGCAGCAGCTACTACCACCACCAGGCCAACTCCGCCGCCAGCTACCAGAGCTACCAGGGCTACTACTCCCAGGAGAGCTACTCCGACAGCTGCTACTACTACCAGAATAGCCAGGAGCAGCCAGCCGCCCAGACGCTGCAGCCCCCCACCCCGCCGCCCAAGGCCACCAAGCGCAAGGCCGAGGAGGATGCCGCCTCCATCATTGCCGCCGTCGAGGAGCGACCCAGCACACTGCGCGCCCTGCTCACGAATCCCGTCAAGAAGCTGAAGTACACGCCCGACTACTTCTACACCACCATCGAGCAGGTGAAGAAGCCATCGCCCGCTCCCGCCAAGGCTGCCGCCAGTCCCGCCCCCTCCTACGAGCAGGAGTACGTGGCAGTGCCCACGCCCAGCGCCTCCGAGGACGTCGATTACTTGGACGTCTACTCGCCGCAGTCGCAGAGCCAGAAGCTCAAGAATGGCGACTTTGCCACCCCGCCACCGACCACGCCCAACTCCCTACCGCCCGTTGAAGGCATCAGCACACCACCTCAGTCACCGGGGGAGAAGTCCTCGCCAGCCGTCAATCAGGAGATCAATCATCACATTGTGACAGCTCCGAACGGAGCGGCCGATTTCAATTGGTCGCATATCGAGGAGTCCTTGGCATCAGGTAGGCATCGTTCAAGCATTCTGCAACCCCTAAAAAATATGAAAATACCCTTCAAAGAATCCCTTTTGCAATTTTTACATATACTTAAAGACACTTCTAACCAATACTTTCCCTATTTCTTAATTGCAGATTGCAAAGACTCCAAACGCACCCGCCAGACATACACCCGCTACCAGACCCTGGAGCTCGAGAAGGAGTTCCACTTCAATCGCTACATTACCCGCCGTCGTCGCATCGATATTGCCAATGCCCTGAGCCTGAGCGAACGACAGATCAAGATTTGGTTCCAGAACCGACGCATGAAGTCCAAGAAGGATCGCACGCTGGAGAGCTCCCCGGAGCACTGTGGCTACTCCACGCTGCTGCCGCCCCTGGAGGCCCCGACCACCGGCACCACGGGAGCAACATCGATGCCCATGTACCACCATCACCACCAGACCGCCGTGCCCTCGTATCCCGCCTATAACCACAGTCACAGTCACGGACACGGTCACAGTCACAGTCAGAGTCATGGACACGGCCACAGCTACGGCCTGCTCAATGATTATCCTCAGCAGCAGGCTGCCGCCCAGCAACAAGCATACGAAGCATACCCGCAGCAGTATCAGCAGCAGTGCGGCTACCAGCAGCATCCGCAGGACCTGTACCATCATCTGCCCTAAGGTCCTTGCGGCGGCGCACAGCCGACACGACACGAACACACCGCGAAACCCGAACCGAGCCGCGCTTCTCTCGACCATTTGTAGGTGACACGCAAATGGCCCAAAGCCGAGAACGAAGCTGCGGCGCGATGAGTCGCACAGTAGAGGGTGCACTCCCTACGGTGCCCAGGCAACTTGGGCACCAGGACGAGTGCGCCTGTGCAGACAGAGACGGCGATAGCTGCTCAGCAAAAAGGAGAGCCAAGGAAGGCTCCTTGCTGCGAGCGGAACCGGAACCCAGTGGCTGGCCATGATGGGTTCTCAGCGATCGATTAGCTGCGGCCAAACACACAAATCCAAAACACACAGCTGGGAGGATGATATCGGCCAGAAGACTTGGAGACTGATAATGTACAGTTAGTTGTAATTAGGTTAAATATTGTATTTAAATAATATTTATTAAAATATATACATATAATAAAAGAGAAAGATTTTTAATGAAATTATTTTGAGTTTTTATTTAAGGGATATGAATTGGAAATGGAAAGGAAAATGATAGAAAATATGGAGACATATTTAAGGATTGTTTCACATTCTCAATGAGTTAAGATATTTTTATTGTATGAAAAGTATGCCAAATATGGTGTTCATTAAAAATAACTCAGAATGATGATAATAATTGTTTATTTATTTATAAATTGTTTCAAGAAATTGTATTACTAAGAACTTGTCTTTCCGCTGTAATTAAGTTAATAAAACATCTAGCCAGAGAACATTTGTGAGATAAATTAAGAAATTTCTATGCGTTTAACAGAAATACTTTATTCATTTGAAATTCTTTAGTTCATTCTTTGATTTATTTGTGATAAATGAGATTCTTTGATCGCTGCAACCACCCAATAAATTCTGTCTGAACTTGGGCGAAAGGCAAACGATTCAACATTGAGCACAAATCGTCCAAATTCGAGCAGCTGCATTTTCTCGCCTTGATCCCCCACAACCCCCGGACCACGGATTTTCTATAAAATTCACTCTTTTCGCCGGAGAAATTGTCACATTTTTGTCGAACATCGGGTGCATCTACCACCACACCCCATGGCCTGCCTCATCCTCCCCTCGCCGATGTGCGTTCGTCTATTGAAGTGAGACATTGATTGGTCATTTTTCATTGCATTGCACACAGACCCGTGACAGTTATGGGTAACGCAGGGTAAAAGGAAAGCCTGAGCTAGATTCAGATCGGGATCGAACACGGACTGAGAGGGTATCAAGGGGGAGCCTTCAGTATACACAAAGTTTGCCTGGGCATCGTTTATTCGAGTCATTAGGTAAAAGTGAACAGTGGGTAAGCAGCAGGCGGCATCTGAGGGTTCTATCTCATGGATACATATACCGAACTTTGTTATCAAATTTCCAAATAATATTTGAAGGGCTTACCTCACACTAATGAACTTTTTAACTAAAGTAGACTCAACTCATGTATCTTTTTGAAGATATCTATAAAGATTTATTTTTTAAAAGCGAGAAATTAACACGAAATTATCTGAATTTTCTATTATTAATACTATATTTTTATTATAACCTTGCAGGTTATTATAATGTTACTCAGACTCTTGTAACTTTAAAAGGAGTCATTTCCGACCCTATAAACCATATATATTCCTGATCAGCATTAAAAGCTGAATCAATCTAGCCATGTCCGACCAAAATCTATTTTTTTCCAAATTTCCGAAAATTTCAAATTTCAATTTTTCATTAAAATTGTCAAAAATTGGCATAAAATTGAATTTTTTAAAATGTTAAACTGAGTATGCAGGTTTGTTGTCCCAATAAAAACTAACACAAGACTGCTTTCCGAATTGAATTTAATGCATTTTTGGCTTTGTTATGAATTTTTTAAACTTTGATTGGTCGAAAAAATTGTGGTATAAAACTATAGAAAAATACTGGCCCAAAGAATGGATTTCAATTTTAGTCACAAGGTTGTTTAAAATGTTAAATTAAGTATGCAGGTATGTTACCCTACTAGAAACTAACACAGGGCAGCTTTCCGAATTGAATTTAATGCATTTTTGGCTTTGTTATGATTTTTTTAAACTTTGATTGGCCTCAAAAATTTCGGTATAAAAATATAAATGGCTGAAAGAATGGAATTCAATTTTAGTCTGAAGGTTGTAAATCGTGAAGTAGTCATTTCCGACCCTATAAACCATATATATCCCTAATCAGCATTAAAAGCTGAATCGATCTAGCCATGTCCGACCAAAATCTATTTTTTTCCAAATTTCCGAAAATTTCAAATTTTTATAATTGTCAAAAATTGGCATAAAATTGAATTTTTTAAAATCTTAAACTGAGTATGCAGGTTTTTTGTCCCAATAAAAACTAACACAAGATTGCTTTCCGAATTGAATTTAATGCATTTTTGGCTTTGTTATGAATTTTTTAAACTTTGATTGGTCGAAAAAATTGTGGTATAAAACTATAGAAAAATATTGGCCCAAAGAATGGATTTCAATTTTAGTCACAAGGTTGTTTAAAATGTTAAATTAAGTATGCAGGTTTGTTACCCTAATAGAAACTAACACAGGGCAGCTTTTCGAATTGAATGTAATGCATTTTTGGCTTTGTTATGATTTTTTTAAACTTTGATTGGCCGCAAAAATGTTGGTATAAAAATATAAATAATTGGCTGAAAGAATGGATTTCAATTTTAGTCTGAAGGTTGTAAATCGTGAAGTAGTCATTTCCGACCCTATAAACCATATATATCCCTAATCAGCATTAAAAGCTGAATCGATCTAGCCATGTCCGACCAAAATCTATTTTTTTCCAAATTTCCGAAAATTTCAAATTTTTATAATTGTCAAAAATTGGCATAAAATTGAATTTTTTAAAATCTTAAACTGAGTATGCAGGTTTGTTGTCCCAATAAAAACTAACACAAGATTGCTTTCCGAATTGAATTTAATGCATTTTTGGCTTTGTTATGAATTTTTTAAACTTTGATTGGTCGAAAAAATTGTGGTATAAAACTATAGAAAAATATTGGCCCAAAGAATGGATTTCAATTTTAGTCACAAGGTTGTTTAAAATGTTAAATTAAGTATGCAGGTTTGTTACCCTAATAGAAACTAACACAGGGCAGCTTTTCGAATTGAATGTAATGCATTTTTGGCTTTGTTATGATTTTTTTAAACTTTGATTGGCCGCAAAAATGTTGGTATAAAAATATAAATAATTGGCTGAAAGAATGGATTTCAATTTTAGTCTGAAGGTTGTAAATCGTGAAGTAGTCATTTCCGACCCTATAAACCATATATATCCCTAATCAGCATTAAAAGCTGAATCGATCTAGCCATGTCCGACCAAAATCTATTTTTTTCCAAATTTCCGAAAATTTCAAATTTTTATAAGGGGTTACATCATTAAAATTGTCAAAAATTGGCATAAAATTGAATTTTTTAAAATCTTAAACTGAGTATGCAGGTTTGTTGTCCCAATAAAAACTAACACAAGATTGCTTTCCGAATTGAATTTAATGCATTTTTGGCTTTGTTATGAATTTTTTAAACTTTGATTGGTCGAAAAAATTGTGGTATAAAACTATAGAAAAATACTGGCCCAAAGAATGGATTTCAATTTTAGTCACAAGGTTGTTTAAAATGTTAAATTAAGTATGCAGGTTTGTTAATCTACTAGAAACTAACACAGGGCAGCTTTTCGAATTGAATGTAATGCATTTTTGGCATTGTTATGATTTTTTTAAACTTTGATTGGCCGCAAAAATGTTGGTATAAAAATATAAATAATTGGCTGAAAGAATGGATTTCAATTTTAGTCTGAAGGTTGTAAATCGTGAAGTAGTCATTTCCGACCCTATAAACCATATATATCCCTAATCAGCATTAAAAGCTGAATCGATCTAGCCATGTCCGACCAAAATCTATTTTTTTCCAAATTTCCGAAAATTTCAAATTTTTATAAGGGGTTACATCATTAAAATTGTCAAACATTGGCATAAAATTGAATTTTTTAAAATGTTAAACTGAGTATGCAGGTTTGATACCACAATAAAAACTAACATAGGACTGCTTTCCGAATTGAATTTAATGCATTTTTGGCTTTGTTATGAATTTTTTAAACTTTGATTGGTCGAAAAAATTGTGGTATAAAACTATAGAAAAATATTGGCCCAAAGAATGGATTTCAATTTTAGTCACAAGGTTGTTTAAAATGTTAAATTAAGTATGCAGGTTTGTTACCCTAATAGAAACTAACACAGGGCAGCTTTTGAATTGAATGTAATGCATTTTTGGCTTTGTTATGATTTTTTTAAACTTTGATTGGCCGCAAAAATGTTGGTATAAAAATATAAATAATTGGCTGAAAGAATGGATTTCAATTTTAGTCTGAAGGTTGTAAATCGTGAAGTAGTCATTTCCGACCCTATAAACCATATATATTCTTGATCAGCATTAAAAGCTGAATCGATCTAGCCATGTCCGACCAAAATCTATTTTTTTCCAAATTTCCGAAATTTTCAAATTTTTATAAGGGGTTACATCATTAAAATAGTCAAAAATTGGCATAAAATTGAATTTTTTAAAATCTTAAACTGAGTATGCAGGTTTGTTGTCCCAATAAAAACTAACACAAGATTGCTTTCCGAATTGAATTTAATGCATTTTTGGCTTTGTTATGAATTTTTTAAACTTTGATTGGTCGAAAAAATTGTGGTATAAAACTATAGAAAAATACTGGCCCAAAGAATGGATTTCAATTTTAGTCACAAGGTTGTTTAAAATGTTAAATTAAGTATGCAGGTTTGTTACAATACTAGAAACTAACACAGTGCAGCTTTTCGAATTGAATGTAATGCATTTTTGGCTTTGTTATGATTTTTTTAAACTTTGATTGGCCGCAAAAATGTTGGTATAAAAATATAAATAATTGGCTGAAAGAATGGATTTCAATTTTAGTCTGAAGGTTGTAAATCGTGAAGTAGTCATTTCCGACCCTATAAACCATATATATTCTTGATCAGCATTAAAAGCTGAATCGATCTAGCCATGTCCGACCAAAATCTATTTTTTTCCAAATTTCCGAAAATTTAAAATTTTTATAAGGGGTTACATCATTAAAATTGTCAAAAATTGGCATATAATTGAATTTTTTTTAATGTTAAACTAAGTATGCAGGTTTGTTACCACAATAAAAACTAACACAAGACTGCTTTCCGAATTGAATTTAATGCATTTTTGGCTTTGTTATGAATTTTTAAAAACTTTGATTGGTCGAAAAAATTGTGGTATAAAACTATAGATAAATATTGGCCCAAAGAATGGATTTCAATTTAGTCACAAGGTTGTTTAAAATGTTAAATTAAGTATGCAGGTTTGTTACCCTAC